ATAAGAAAAATCAACCCATACTCTTTTCGCCCCCCCAAATTTGCAGCCCCCTGGGGCCAGCCACAGTGGGCAGCCTTGTGTGAGGGACCAGCTGGCACCCCTGGGACCAGTGCTCCCTGCCTGCTACAGGCAGCAGCCTCAGTTTCCCCTCTGCAGACAGCAGGTGCTGATGAAGTGGGAGTTCTGCAGCATGGTGAGCCCTGACTTCCCTCTGCACCCAGACCTGAGCATTAACACCTCCCTCACACCTGGAAAAAGCCACTTTGGAGCCACCCCTCAGGGAATAGGGGATCCCACACTCAGCATGAGCAAAGCGGTGCAACGCCACAGGGGTAGAGAGGTAAAAACTAAGCCAAAAAAAACTCAAAAACCTGCTGCAGGAAACCCATCAAGTGGCAAGAAGTTGAATACCCAACCCCAAACTGGCATGGGGTGACCTGTGCTCCCAGGCCAGGGAGCCACAGCTCCTGCTGTCCCCGCAGCCCTGCTCTGAGCTGTCAGGCACCTTCCCAGCACCTTCTGCTGGACTGGGAAACAGGGACTGCTTCCAGGGGGTCAGGACCTCCTGCTGCTCTGAGCAGGCAGAGATGAGGCCGTGCTGCAAGCTTAAAAAGGTGGGGAAGGGGAAGGAATCTCACAGTTGCAGCTTTGCTCTCAGGCTGAGATGGGAGCATGGATCTCTTTCCACCAACTCTGGGAGCTACTGAGCACTAGACAGGGCTCTAACATATCACACTCCTACCCCAGTAGGCTGGGGCCAGCCTCTTGCTACAAACCAGGGCCTGAAAAACCATCCTGGTTTCGCTGATTTTGCAAATCCAGGGAACTTGGCTCACAGCAAACGTTTCCAGGTCTGCAGCGTGCAAAGCACATGTGTTAATGCATCATTAAAGTTGATCAAACAAGCACTGAACAGGCTGGAAGTCTGGGAAGGGGGAAGGAAGGGGCTGAACTTTGGGTTCACATCCAAGGAGACATCAGAAGATTGAATGTCTGAATTTGCAGCTGACAAAGAGACTCAGCAGAGGAGCGGTAACAAGAAGCCATTATCATTTATGAGCAATAGCCACTGGGGGGAGCGAAAATCGCACTATGTACAGCTTCCCGGCAAGGCACTAACGGATTTTAGTCTGAAATCGGAGCTGGACAAAAGAGCATCCCTTGCCAGCGCTCTCAGCTCGTCCCTCGGCCGCTCCCCAAGGGAACACCAGGGAGCTGGCACAAGGTGCGAGAGCTGGCAGTTAACCTCAGGGCTCCACAGACACTTGGCTAAGTGAGCCATGCAGCCACTTCGGTCCCAGCCTGGCCGGTGATTCGGGACAAGGCAACCCACAATGCCTTAAGCATAGAAACCCTCCTTGCTTTGCCCAGGTTAGCACCTCAATCACACCACAACAATGGATGCTGCGCTCTGACCTCTGCAGAAATACCAGTACCCTCCAGCCCCACAGACTAACGCACATCCAGGGAGAAAGGACCGTGTTTAGGGTCTGCCCTACAGCTGTAGTAATCATTTTGGATACGCAGCAGCAAAAGTGAGAAGCGAGAGCCCGCCCTGCTGCCTGCCCGCAGCAGAAGCATCCTCGACAGGCAGAGCTGCTCCAAGGCAGAGGGAGGAGGATGTGGGCCAGGATCCAGGGCATGAAAGCAGCCAGGCCAGTTGGGCAAGAAGCAGGACAGATGGGTGCCCAGGCAGCACCAACCCCTTCTCACCTGTGACAAGCACCACCACGAGGTGCTGCTTGCCAGGCCACGGGTCCCTGCGTGTCAGGGAGCCCTACGAACAGCCTACCTGGGGTGCAGCACCCACGGCAGCACCCACGGAGGGCAGGGACCCCACGGCTGGACCCACAGCTGATGCCCCCCCCCCCAAGCACCCTGCACCCCACAAGGTGCCACCGAGCCAGGCACCAGCAGGGAGGTCCCCCAAGCCACAGCACCTGCAGCCACCCGGGGTGCTGAGCCCCTGGGAGAGGGACAAAGACCCCCCCCCCCAGGTCTGCAACAAGCACCCCAGACCTGCAGGCAGCAGCACCCCAGGGTAGGACCCCCCCAGAACCTCTCACCTGCACATACAAGTCCCCCGCAGCCATGGCAGCCCCCTCACCACTGCCAGCACTCCCACCCCCCTCACCCGCAGCCTCTTTATGGCCACTAATTGCCGCTAATTGGAGCGGGATGGGGGTGGGGGGGGTGTTATATGTGCCCGCCCCAGTCTACCTCCCGTTCTGCCCCACAGCCCCTCTCCAGGCTCAGAGGAACACCTGGAGGGTGCTGGGACTGGTTTCCCCCCCCTGCTGCGACACCCCAAGATCCCTCCCAGCTCGGGCACCCCAAGTGCCCCCTGTGCAGGGCACCTCAAGACCCCTCCCATTTAGGACAACCTCAGAATCCCCATAAGGGCACCCCAAGACCCCACTTGGGACATCCTGAGAAGCCTTATGTGGGACCCCCCTGCCCACCCAGGACACCCCAAACTCCCCCCCTACCTGGGGCACCCCAAGAGCCCACCAAGGGCACCCAAAGACCCCTCCTATCTAGGACACCCCAAAACTGCCCTCATCCAGGGCACCCTGGGCTCTGATCTTGTGCACCCCAAGTCACCCATCCAGGGCACTCCACGCTCCCCTCGTTACAGAGAAACTCCGGTAACGATGAAAACCTGCGGCCACAGCACTGGCAGAGTACTGACAGCTGCCTGTGGGTCCCCACAGCCCACGGGTGCCACTGTCTGTGGGTGCCACCACTCCTGGGTGCCGCTGCCTGTGGGTCCCCGCTGCCTGTGGGTGCTGCTGCCTGCAGGTCCCTGCTGTCCCCGCACCCCTGCGGTGGCCCAGCCAGCCCCGCAGAGCCAGGACGAACGAAGCCTGGGCGACTGGCTACCACGCAGCGGTGGCTGATGGTGGGGACAGTGACAAGGGGATGCCCAAGCAGGGCGAGAGGTGGGTGACGGTGACCAGCACCGCCTTGCTGGGAGCAGGAGCACCCGTGGGGACAAGGCGGCCAGACCCACAGCAGGGTCACGCAGCACGGACAGGGACAAATCTACCTGTCGGGAGGAGGCAGATGTCCCCGTCGGTTTCCGCTCCCTCCCCGAGCACCCAAGCTGGCACCCGCTTTTTTCCCAGCTGGCTTTACCAAGCTAGCACAGCTCCGGGGATGCTAAAGCCATCCCAGAGGGTGCCAGCTCCGGTAACCCCGCGCACTCTAGCAGATTAGCCCAACGTGGCAAGTGGGGCGATGAAAATGTTGCCCCTCCCCCCCCCCCCCCCCTCAAAAAAGTGAGCACATTCTGCAACAGGGAACACACAAAGATATTTTCTGATGAAAAAAAAGTAATGAATCCCTTATTGCCCAAGGGCTGTCAGCGGCATTTGGCTCATTAACAAATCACGTAGGCGGGTTCGCGCCATGTGCAGCCTGTCGACACAGACTGGAACTCCATTAATAGCCGAGCTTTCAGCCAGGGAGAAAACAGACGCCCCGGCAGCCTTTCGGTAGTTACCGCTCCCCAAAGGGGTCGATGGCACTTTCCGACAGCTGCCTCGAAAACCCCAGCGCGGCCGGGGAGAGCTGCGGCAGCGGGGCGTGCAGCAGCCCCAGCACAGCCAGACACGGCGGCAAACCGTGCCGCGGCGACCCGATGCCGGACGATGGCACCCAGGGAAGCGGCGAGACCAGCGGGTGCTCGAGGGGTGCGTTTTCCCCATCGCCCCATCCCACGTTGCGCCCCGGCTGCCCCAGAGAGTCACGGCTCAGCCGCAGGGTTTGCAGGAGGGTCCGTGCCCCCGGCACACAGGAACCCGAGGGTAAATCCTGCCGAAAAGCACACCGCCGACAGACGTACGGACCGGCAGACGTACAACTCAAAACCAGAGCAGGGTGGCCAGTCCTGAGGACGCTGGAACGGGCGCCGAGAGGCTGCAGGCAGTGAGACACCGTAGGTAGCACATGAATTCATATATAGTAAAAAGTCTTTATTAAGAAGGCTTTGAAGTCAAAAAATAAAACTCTTGATACAATTTTCATAACCGTCAAGTCAGCTCAGCAAATATATAATCAGTACTTTAGCCATGTAAGGTTAAAGGTCCGTTATTTTCTTTTTAAAATAAAATATATTTTAGTTTTTAAAATTTATTCAATAAAGTACATATTTTCCTATAAATTCCCTACATATACATAAAGAGGTAAAAAATAAAAAAATAAAACTAAAAAAAAAAAATAAAACAAAACCAACCACAAAATAAAAAGGTGATAGAAATCTGTCTGGGTTTTGCAACATGGTGTGTTAACTGTGCCCCCTCCATCCCATAAGCTCCCCTGCCCGGCTCGGCCCCTCCAGCCAGGACCCCCAACCTCTCGTCACACGTTTTTGGGCAGTTTTCACATTGGCAAAATAGAAGATAGACCTGCGTTACAAAAAAAAAAATATATATATTTATAGAACCATCAAGAATCATCCAAAAAAATAACTACATACAAAAAGAACGACAACAAAAAAATTATAATAATAATAATAGAATGATTTTAAAAAAATAAAAGACAACCCTTGTGTGTCCTAAAATAAAAAGTGCAACCGGACCTTTTCTTTCTGTTTATTTAACTTTGCAAACTGAATACTGTTATTTGGGAAGGACTGTTGAAGAACAGCTGGGCTTCCTCCTCCCAGCCGCCACAGCTGGGTGAAGAGTTAAAGCTATTCTGTAAACATTGGAGTTTCTTCCTCTCTGCAGTCTCACACCCCTCTTCCTCGTTGTCTTCGTCAGCCCCTTCTTCCCCACCCCTCCCAACCCCCTGTATTTCGGCCACCCTCCCGCCCCGCCGTCCTGCCCCTCTCCAAATCTCCAGCCAGCAAGCAGCAGCCTCTCCTTCCCCCCCCCACCCCGTGCGCCCATCGGATCCGTTATTAAATAAAAAGGTCGATTTAAACAGTTTCAAGTCCTTAAAAAGTTGTGTCGGGGTGGAGGGGAGGGCTGGCCGCCCCGGCGAGCTGGACCCGGCTAGGAGAAGATGTGGATGGCTTGCGTGGCGGGAGTGTGGCAAGCGGGACACTCGGGCTCGGCTTTGCCGCAGATGCGCATGGCGCACTCCATGCAGAAGAGGTTGTGGCCGCAGGGCACCAAGGCGGCGATCACCTCGCTCTCGAAACACACCATGCACTCGCGGGAGCTCTTGCGGTGCCCGTCGGAGCTGCTGGAGTCGGTGGGCGAGCCCGAGGCGGCGGAGATGCTGCCGGGCAGGGAGGAGGAGGAGGAGTAGCCGGTGCTGTTGGAGAAGGAGGAGAGCGAGCCTTGGGTGGGCAGCCAGGACAAGGTGCTGACGGGGTCGCTCTGGATGCGGCGCGCTAAGGGGTGGTCCAGGGCCACGCCGCCGCTCTCGGGGAGGGTGGGCGAGTGGCGCGGCGTGGCCGTGCCGCTGTTGCGTCTCTGCGAGCTGTTGATGGAGGAGCAGCTGCTGAAGGCTTGCAAGGGGTTGCCCGAGCGCTCGAAGGGCGACCAGATGGTGGTGGGTGTCGTGAGGTCGAGGGCCAAGAAGTCGAAGCCGAAGTCGCACTCCTCCGAGCCCAGCGGGGCCGGGGGCTCGCTGAAGGTGAAGCCGCTGCTGGTGCTGTAGGGGCTGGTGGGGCTGGCGTCCGCCACCCGCCCGCTGTAGTAGGACTCGGTGGAGGTGCTGCCCAGGGAGCTGAGGCTGTCGTTGCGGAGGGCGGCCGAGGGGCGGCGGGCAGGGTGGGGGGCCTTGGCCCACAGGCTGGCCGTGCTGCCCTGCAGGTCGAGGCAGACGTCGGTGCCGTTGGAGTGGAAGTCGTTGTCGGCATTGACGTCGATGAAGGAGCCTGTCCGCATGGTGATGTGCGCCTCGATCTCCTCCCTAGCCCGGTCCACGTTCTCGGGCATGCCCGTCACCTCGAAGACAGGCTCCTTGTCCCGGCTGGGTGTCACGATGTAGGTGTGCGTCTGCTGCTGGATCCGCTTGATGGTGGCTCCCTTGGGCCCCACCACCAGCCCCACCACACGGTACGGGACCCTCACCTGGATGGTGGTCTGTCCCGGCAGGTTGGGGGGCCCCTGCATCGCTCCCGTCAGCCCGTTCACTTTGTTGCGTGTCGCCCGGATCATGGAGAAGTGCTCGGCGGCCGAGAGGATCTCCCTTTTCGCCATCTCCACGTCCTCCTTCCTCCCAGTCACGATGAAAACGGGCTCTTCGCCCCTGACCGGCGTCTTGATGTACGTGTTGGTCTTGGCGCGTAGGGCTTTAATTTTGCAGCCTACAAAGTGAGAAGGGGAAAAAAAAAAAAAAAAAGACACGTCAAAGCTGAGACCTCGTGGAGAGCCCTTGCCCACCCAGGATGGGGAGATGCAGGACCAGCAGGTCCCTTTGGTTCTGCACCTGCAGCACAGACACCCTTGGAGAGAGGGGTCCCTCCCGCCTCAAAGGCAGCCAAGGGCTCGCAGCTTGGTGCTGGGGGGCCGCACCGGCTCGTCCAAGACACGCCAGGCTCCTGGCACCGGCCTGACCCTCTGCCACCACCTCCTTCGCGCCGCAGCGGGGATCGGGGACCCGTGGGACGCAGCCTACCGCTGCCCGGCTCCCGAAGGCTGGGACAACACGTGGACAGATTGGGGCTGGGGCAGGCAGCCGTGGGGGCACTTTCTGGGCTGTTGAGGGGATGGGAAGCCGGTTTTAAGCGAAAGGTGTTTAAGGAAGTACAAGGAAAAGGCTTGTTTGGATCCTGCAGGTTTGTCGACACCTCTCAGCCAGCAGCTAAGCCCAAGAAACAGCCCCGGCCGCACCCCAGCGGCAGCAGCGATGGCCACGGAGGGATGGGGGAGCTGGGGCTCCCCACGGCTGGGCGGCACAGGCACCCCCGCCTCCCTCTCCCTGCCCTCAGGGAGGAAAAACCAGGGCAGAGAGGCTGCGCTCTCGCCGGCTGGGGCAAGGGTGTTCACGGGGCACCGGCTCTCCCCGTTCTGGAAAGACCTGCTTCCCCTGCACGAGGAACATGATTCAGCAGGCAGAGCCCAGGCTGGGACGAAGGAGATCGGGGCTTTGCTTCTAGCTCTGCCTTCGCCTCGCACAGCTCCGGGCAAGTCCCTGCCCCTTTACTCCCATGGGCGAGCTGGGCTGCGGCTGCGAGTCCCTGCCAGTGCCCGTCCAGCGAAAGGCTCCCGCTCTCCTCCGGGACCGGTCATTGCTGCTCTCGCCGAGAAGCCGCCTCCGGCTGCAAACGCAGCACCGCTCCCTGCAACCCCAGCCCTGCTAATTGCATCCGCTCTGCCTGCGCTCCAGTGCACGCACTTAATTAAATTCACATGAGCCAGGCACACCGCACTGGGAGCTCAGCCTGGCTGGCCGCCCTCTGCTCCCGGCACACGAGGGCGAGTGACCCCGTCTCCCACCTCCCACGCACGCCCTGAGCTTTGCAAGGCACCCAAAGCAAAGCCAGGAGCCCGCAGGGATGGAAGCTGCCCCATCAGAGCCCCAAGACCATCCCTGTCCACTGCAAACGCTGCTGCTGGAGATCCACATCGATAAATAGCCGCACACCGGCGGGGACGGCTCGACTCCTCGCAGACACAGCCAAGGCAGCCGCAAGCGCCCAGCTGGCTCCTCCGCAAACGGCTCGCTCGGAGCACTCCTCCTCCTCTTCCCAGAAGCTCCCTGAGGAAGGGCAGGGCGGCTCTTCCAGCTGCCAGGCTGGAGAAGGGAGAGCCCTGGAAGGTTGGACTCAGCCAGGGTTGGGGCGGCGCACGATGTTCGCGCAGGTCTGTCCCAACCAGGCAAATCAACCCGCGCTCGTTAGCAGCTGGAGAGCAGAGCCCTAACAGGGGCCGTGCTATTCCCGGAGACCCGAGCACGGTGCATTTACCAGGGCATTAAGCATCATGAATAACAAGTAGTAAAGAACTGTCAAAATAAGTGAGCAGCAGCTGTCCTGGGTGTCACAGCCCGGCTTTTTGGCAGCACTAACCCCTCCGACAGCCACATTCAGGGAGGCGACGGGTGATGACACCGGCCTCTCCAGACACTTCTTCCAAAAAATCCTCGAAAGCAGCTCGCACCAGCCAGCACGGCCCCTGCCCAGCCCCGGGCTGCTGGCAGCTCTATGTGTGCCCTACCTGCTGCCTGCAGAGGTCCCAGGATGGCGACAGGCAGGTTGGAGGGCAATCTGGGAGGGGAGCAGGCAGATAAGCAGCCAGATAGAACTGGGGAGGCAGGAGACCTGCTGAGATCTCCCTCCTAAGGGGGGGAAACCCTCTGGATTTCATACAAGCCAGGCTGAAAGCATTTGAAGGCCACCTCCAAGCACTTGCTGCAATCAAACAAATGTTCCTCCCACCTTGCATTGCCCCAGGGATTCACTCCCAGCCTGGGAGGGGGAGCAGGACAAGCCCAAATTCAAATTTTCCTTCTGACGACCGGCCGGGCTCAGCCAGGCAGAGGCAGCGCTGGGAATGGCACAGAGCTGCCCCGTTCTCCGGAGCCGGGGAAGGCATTGAGTGGCTGCGAGGACACGCAGAGGGGGAATGTGGGTGGAGAAGGGTTTGACCAGGCTTTTCCTAATTTAGGACAACAACTGGAAGGTGTATTTCTGGCTGGGGGCATATGATGGGGAAAGCAACGGCCCGGTCATTGGGGCAGGGCAGAACCAGAAACTATCAAAGGTGAAATTTTTTTAAGTACGTGCCAGCTTCTGCGAGGCTGTCCAGAGTGAGACAGTGTCCTGCTACTCCGATGTTTCCCTCCCTGATTTATTCTGGTACCCGCTATAAGCTCTCCCCCTGGCTCCACTGCTTGGCAAAACCGGGATGAGCACAGTGGCAGCGGGCAAGGGCAGCCGGGCTGGGAGCCACCGCGGGGCTCTGCCGGCACCTCCCGGGGACACCAACCTCACACCCAAGATCCAAAATTCGTCCTTCAGAGCAGGAAGCAGCAATTTCAAGATCCAAAGGTATCGGCAGCTGCCAGGAGCTGCGAACAGGAACTGCTTGAGAGCCATGTCCCACGGGGGGCACGGCACAGCGAGGCTCCTCCTCGCCCTGCTCCACCGCGCCGGCTGCACCGGTGGGACCGAACTGATGCTACGGCAGCACAAGATGGAGGAAGAGTTTATCCGGCTGCTCCTTGCGAGCCCTTCCTAGGGGCAAAGCCAGGAACCTGGATTAAAAATTAAAGGGGTGTCTGGCTTGGCCAGCTCCACCCTCCTCAAACAAGCAGGGCAGGAAAAACGCACGGGACCCGTGGCTGCCGGACGCTGCCGGGGCCACCGTGCCCACGCCGTGCTGGGGCTGCCTGCGGCACAGCAAAACGCACCACGGGTCAGAGCAGGTTTTTCCGATCCTGGCGTAAAAGAGGACGGCGGCAGGTCTGGGGCAGCAGGGGTGCTGGCTTGCCTCCCTGCCGGCCCGCAGAGCCACGTGGGAAAACATTGCAGAAAAGGAGGCATCGGCCAGGGAACCGCTTGTCTGAGGCCACGTGCTGGCATCTGCACCGGGAACCGGAGCCTCTGTCGTATGACACACCGGTGAGTGCTCCCAGATGGGCACACTGGGGACGTGGTGGGAGCAGAGCTGGGACGGCACCGCGGCCCCATCCAGGGCCCAACGTGTCCTGCCACTGGCCCCCGTCCCCCCCTCAGCCATGGGCAATCCCAGGGAGCAGGTCCTAAAAGCCCCAATGGGGAAGGATGGGCAGCCTCCCCGAGCTGGGATTCAGTAAAGCGTTTAAACCCACACGGCGGAGCGAGCTATGGGTCTGCAACACCAGGGACTGGTGAAGAGACACAACCTCACAGCAGTACAACCCCTGTCCTCCATCACATCTGCGCCCCGGAGACGTGGCTGAACCGAGGCTGCTCCTGCCCATGCTCAAGGAGATTCTGACACCCTATGGCCAAGCCCCCCAAAAGCCCCCCCCGAAAGCCAGACATACTCAAACCGCGCAACACGGGTGGTTTAACCAGCAACCTGCAACTGGGGCAATGAGTCACACCAGTATGAGATATTTCAGATGAGCCTCCACAAGCCCCCACCCCAGCACATTGTGAAAACACCATCCCGGACTGCTGCATCCCTCTGAAATTGGTGCAGCACAACCCTACCGTGCCAGATGGGGCTCTGGAGAGGACCAGGGGCCACCCGGCATCGCCGGCGAGCCCCACCGCAGGCATCCCCTCGCCCTGGCATTGCCAGATCAAGCGCCTTACCTCAACCAAGTGGCAACAGTTGGCATTCCCATGTTTTACCTTGCCAAGGGCCGCTGCACAGCGTTAGTGACGAGAGAGGAGGAAAACAAGGTGCCAGACTTTGCTACCAGTCTATAAATAAGGTGGCTTTAAAAGCAGCTTTCAGATCCAAAAGGAAACACCACCAAAACCTGTGAAGGGGAACAAACCCAGGGGTGCTACAGCCCCAGAATCTCTGGTCTCTTCTCAAGACCAGAGCCTGGGAGTGGCTTGGTCACCACGTTACAGCTCTTGTTACAGAGCTCCGAGTCCCCATGGGCCCAAACTCATCATGACAACCCGTGGCTGTGCTCAGCTGCACGCAAACACCCTCATTCCGGGGGTCTCAAGCACGTGCAACCCCCAGCGAGTCACAGCCCTCGCACCACCACCCAGCTCTGCCTGCAAAGACGGCACCAACGGAGGGGCGCGAGCTGGACGCTCCTCTCAAACCCTCCCATCTCCAGACTCCGCACCGCTTCTCTTCCTCCCACTGTCACCAGCTCCGAGACCCTCTCTGCCCACCCGGCACGGCTCCCGGCACACTCCACTCCGCAAAGCTGCCCCGCGGTGCCCTGGCTGGACCCGTCCCACCTGCCCTCGGGCTGAGAAATCGCTGGTTTTGGAAAAGAAACAGAATCTCAGGGAATTCTTCCCACGATGATGCGGTGATGGAGGCAGCACCCCAGGCAAGGCGGCTGCTCTCCCTAAATGTCCTCTCTTGGCACCACCAAAGAGGACTTTGCCCTCTGCCAGGAGCTCCAGTCGGATCAGGGCTGCGACTATCGCAAGAGCCCATGAAAACCAGTACAGCCCAGGCTGGGAAGTGCCCCTCCATCCTCTGCGCTCCCACCGTTGCCCAGACAAGAGGCAAGAGACCCGATGCAGCTCATCCGCTCGCTGATCCCCAGCATGGCCCTGCCAGCACCTGCTTTGACACAAGGTGGCCTCCTCCACACGAGCAGGACAAAGCCAGCCGTGATCCCCTTGGCCAGACCACACCTGCCTTTACCCAAGGAGCTTTGCACTTGCAGTGCCCAGCTCCAAGCTATGAAAACCCAAGAAAGAGCCAACAGCGCTTTTCTGGAGGAGCCTTTGATGGCATCGACCAGGAGGACCGTGTTCATCGCAGCCTGGGAGACAGCTGATGCCGCCTTACACTCAGCCAGCCCTCTGGAACACGCTACCCACTGCAGAAAGAAGTTGCCCTTCCTCTTCCCCAGCTCTGCAGCATCTTCTGGCCTCAGATCCGGCGTTACGGCACTCCCGGTCCCCTTTTTCCCCCGTTACAGGCAAATAGCACAGGATGTGCCAGGACTGGGGCCAGACATGGAAGAGAACAGGTTGCACCTTCGTCGCATCTCATCTCCCCTCTTGCTGAGCGTTTCTTCCCATTTCTCTGGAAAGAGTAATTAATTCATCCTTGCAACCACGCTGCAGGAGGCAGGCACATCACACCTTTGTTTCTTCTCCAGACACCGGCAAAAGCGAGGCAGGGAGGCTGGGCTCCTCGCCTCGGGCCGGAGAGGAGGAAACCAGTGCCAAAGCCAAGACGCGCAGGCAGATACTTCAGCGATCAGATCAATCTGTGCGACCGACTTCAGGAGCATCTGGCTCTGCTACGACCCAGAGAGGTGGGAGGAGGCAGCCAGGCCAGCCTCAAAGGACATGGCATGATGGGCAGAGGACAGCAGAGAGCAGCAGCCCAGGGCTCAGAAATATGAGAGGATTCAGCACAGCCCCAGCAATCCACTGCAAGTTTACAGATGCTCGGGCTGGGCCAGAAACCAAGGCCTGTGGTCTCCCTGCGCATCCTCCAAGCACCAAAACGCCTGCTGTGCTCTGGCAGGGAGGAGAGGTGCCGTATTTCATCCTTCCCTGGATCTCACCTTCGAACATCCCAGCATCTTCTATAAACGGCAACTTTCCCAAATCCTTCGCAAAGCTGCGAACGCTCCCTGCCTGTTGCAGATGGGGAAGTGGAGCCCAGGAAAGGAGCCACGACTGGCTCTGTCCCACGAGAGGCACGTGGTGTAGAAGGGGAGAGTAGAGCCCGGGGCTCGTTGGGGCAGAAGCTGCTGGAAACGCACGTCCAAAGCCGGGACACCAGGGAGCAATGCTGCCCTGGTGCTGGCGTGCAAGAACCAGGGCAGCTCTAACACACGGCCCGCCCCATGCTCCCCATCTCCCTTTTCCCTAGTGATTTCCGTTATCACCACCGCTCTTTTTGCTGGTGAGCGAGGTCAGCTCATACCACTGCAATCAATGCCCACAGCACTTATTGGAGACAGTCCCTCCCACGGTAGGAGTCATGAACGGGCTTGCACGCAAAGGCACGGCCACGTAATCCCGCCAGGCCAATGCTGCCTTTTGGTAGCCGTGTGGGCAGGGAGGAGAAAACCGCAGATTCCGGCTGGCAGACACCACTCCGCACCATCACCGATGCCGATCCGGGCGAGGGGTCGTGGCAACCACCTCTCCAGCTCAGTCACGAAAATACAGATGATTTGCTCTACACAATGAAGATTTACCTGCTGCTGCTCCCTTCCGGAAAGGGTTAAATTAGTGGATCTGGAGGAGAGAAAATTGAAGAAAAAGGAGAAGTAGGAGACAGCCTCTGGCCCACCTCAGCCCGCATAGGACAGCCGTGCATTGGTCTGATGGGCAAAGCCATCTCCCTGCTCACCCTAACGGCAGCAAGGGGCTGCTGGGCTCTGGGGACAGCAGGACCGGTCCCAAAGCGCCCCCAAGAGCTGCTCCTCAGCACACGGTGTATGGGGAGAGAAACCCAGCCTTGCCCCAACAAAAGACCCTTCCAGGGCACCCGACATCCACACCTTCATCCCTTCTTTACGTTCCAAGTGCGGCAGCACCACAAGCGCCTGCTCCCCGGGTCATGGCCGGGCTGGGCAGTGCAGGAAAGACAAGAGCGATGGGGACACGGTCTGAGGGAGTCCGACCAAGCCCCACAGTGTCACCAGCGGCACATCTTGCCACCGGAACGATGCCAGGCCCAACAAAGCACCCCAAGGTTCGGTTCCACGCTGCTGCGTAGCCAGAGCCCCACTGCCGGAGGAGGTGGCCAAGGGAGACTCGCACGTGGGGACCTGGGGACCAGAAGGACCCAGGAGCCAGCACTGGTGCAGGAGGATGAGGCGAGCAAGAAGGGCTCTGCTCATTTTCAAGCTTGATGTGAGACCTGGAGAGGCAGGCAGCTGCGAACGACCTCGGTATCGCCCCTCTTCAGGCTGCACCGGCCTCACGCATCCCTGATTTAAAAGAGCTGCTGGTGGTACCGAAGAGAAGCCAGAGCACAAAGACACTCCGCTGACAGCCCTGTCCCCCCAGATGCCACCCAACCGCACCCCCCACCAGCGAGAACCAGGGCTGCCAAGTGCCGAGCCCCCTTCACGCCAAAAAACCCAGCACAACAGGGCCACGGCATGGCGTCCGAACAGGCTGCGAGCTGTAGAAAAGCTGAGACCAGGAGAAGGGCAGGAAACACATGGGGGAAAACCCCCGGGAAGAGCTGTTCCTGCCCATGGGTCAGGGCAGCAGCAGGTAGCTCTACACCATTGCCGGCCCCAGGTCCCCTCCGAGCCCACTGGTGGGACATGGTGTCCCCCCAGCACCCCCTCCTCAAGCTGGTATAATCTTTTTTTTTTTTTTTAAAGCTCTTTTCCTTGAGCCCCACGAGCCTGTGCAGCTTAGCGAGCATCCAAGCTCCGCACAAGGTGTTTGGGGCAGATAGCCGGGCGCACATTTAACTCATCGGGGTGCCGGCGGCGCAGCACCGGGGTCTCACCGCAGCTGGAACGCCCGACCCCAGCTGCTGCGAGAAAGGGTGCCAACCCGACAGCTCGCCGGGCCGAAAGCAGCCGTTCCTCCAACCTCCTTGAACTCACAGAGCCGCCGCGTTTCCCCAACGGAGGCCGGACCCCATTACAGATCTGCTTTCGAGTTGCCGGACCCCGGGGTTCTGCAGAGCCCGCCGACGAGGCCACCAAATCCAGGTCCTCCATCCAGCCCGGGGAGAAGCAGGATCCTCCCGAGCAGGGCGCGGCACCGCGCTCCTCTCTTCTGGCAACGGAGCAGGCTTTGCCACGCCGCTCGGCTGCTCCGGCTGGGTTCGGCAGTCCGGTGGGCACCCCACGGCCGGGGCGGTGGGACCAGCGAGGGGTGCACGGAAAGTTGGGAGGCCGGGAAGCGGGGCCGGCTGGGAGGCAGCACAGGCCAATGGGAAGCGCAGAGCATGATGTCACCGCGCTCATCACAGCATGGCTCTGGCTAACAAAGAGAACAATGAGGCTGCCCAGCTCCCCGCTTCCCCCCAGGAAAAAAATGCTCCCCCGGCCCCGCAGCCCCCTTGGCCAGGGAGGGATGGGAGCCGTGGGAGCGAGGGCAAGGCTGGGATGCCAGAGCCCTGCGTGGCAAAAACCTCCCGGAGGTCAGGCTCCCTGCGAACCGAACTGCCCGTCGCCGCTGGGATTCCTGCGGGCGGCAGCTCCCTTCTTTTTTTTCTTCTTCTTTTTTTTTTCTTAAATTCTCCTCCTTAGGGGTCTTGTCTTTTTTTTTTTTGGTCTTTTTTTTTTTGTCTTTTTTTTAAAAAAGGTGAAACTTTGGTTAAGGGCTATTTCGGATTTCCTCAAGACAAAGCCCACGCCAGGCACACCCACCCAGGGAGAGGGCTGGGGCTGAGGCGTGCCCGGGTGTCCTTTTGTGACAGCTGAGCGGGAGCGGGGGCTTCGCGCCCCTCCGCTGCCCGCAGAGCTTCGTTCACCGAATAAACCAGCGGATTCATTATCATTTATATCCGAAGTCTGAGATATCGAGCATCGCTTACACGCCGAGTCCGAGATACTGAGCTGGAGTGGGGGGGGGGCTGTAGAGGCACTCAACTACAATAAAATCAAAGCTTTCGCCTGCACTTCGTGTCCTGGGAGCTCCCACGGACTCGCGTGGCACCCGGGAACTTTCCGTGTGCCCAAGGTGTTTATCATCCCCCCCCCCTCCCCGTGCCGTTTTTGCTGGCCTATATAGTTTTAATTAATATTTACAGACGGCGCGCTGGGGAAAGGCACAAAGAAGAGCAGCTCGCTCCCAAAACCCAGGGCGAAGGCGCGTCCGCGGGAGGAGTTCCAGGGCCGCGGGATTTGTCGCCGTTAAGTTTCCGCCTCCGCGTTACCGGGCACGGAGACAAAAGCCCCAAAACTGACCCAAATAAAGCGGGGCCGGGTCGGGCCCGGTGCAATCCCGCGGGAGGCGGCGCCGCAACCCCGGGGCGCTCCGGGAACGGGGTGCAGGGACCGGGGACGGGGCGGACAAAGAGGGGGGGGATCCCCCCCACGCGGGGCGGGGGTGTTACCTTGCCGGCCCACGATCTCGGCGACGTGCTCGGAGCTGGGCACGGGCACGCACTCGGTCATGTTCACGCTCTTCTTCCTGCTCCCCAGCGCGCCCAGCGGCTCGGCCAGCAGCGCGGCGGGCGGCGCCAGGTGCGGGGCGAAGTTACCGAAGGCGGCCGGGGGGGA